ATCATTCTTCCCAAAAATCGACCCCGGGCCCGCTTGGTCAAAATACGAGGTTCGGACCAAAATCAAATTCCCCATTCACCCACGAGCCAAATATATAATTATTTTCAGAATTCGACCCCAAAACGAGGTCTAAATCACCATTAATCAAAAAGCCCTAGTTCAACCCAAGTCCCTAATTTCTACCTATAATTCCATGTTTTAAGCTTAGAAATCTAATAGATGTTGATGAAAATGGAAGAAAATAAGTTAAAGATTACTTACCCAAGAGGTTATGGTGAAGGAATGCTTCAAAAATCGCCTAAGAGCTTTGGAGGAGAAAGAGTTTATGAAATTCTTATGAAATCTCGTAAGGCTACTGTTCTGGAAATTTAAAATTTAACTGGGCGAATTCACTCTACGCGATCGCGACAGACCCTCCTCGTAAGCGATGGGTCAGGCTGGTTAAGCCTTCGCGTTCGCGTAAACGGGCTTGCGTTCGCGAAGCTTTAGCTTCTCGAGCCCTCGCGTTCGCGTCCAACGAGTCGCGTTCGCGTAAGGCAACTACCCCTCCCCCTGCCCAGGCCCACTTGGCCTTCGCGTTCGCGTGGCCAGGTCCGCGTTCGAAGGTATAAACCCCCATTGCATCGCGTTCGCGGCCTGAGCTACGCGTTCGCGTAGAAGGATTTCCCTTCAGCGACAATTAACCCATCGCGTTCGCGTGGGTACTCCCGCGAACGCGAAGAAGGATATACCAGAAACCCAACAGCTGAAAACCTGCAATTTTTCTTAAGTCTGAAACCTTCCGAAACACACCCGAGCCCTCGGGGCTCCTAACCAAGCATACGTACTAACTCAACAACATCATACGAACTTATCCGTGTGATCAAATCGCCAAAATAACCTCAATAACAATGAATCAAACCTCAAAATCAAGAACTTTTTCTCAAACTTCATCAAGTATCAAATTTAGCAATTTAAGTCCGAATCACGTCAAACGGCGTCCGTTTTCAACCAAATTTTACAGGAATGACTTAAACCATATATAAGACCTGTACCGGGCGCCGGAACCAAAATACGGGCCCGATACCAACACGTTCTAATAAAATTTCATTTCAAATTTTTCTTAAACAATTTCAGAAAACAATTTCCTTTAAAAATTTATTTCTCGGGCTTGGAACCTCGGAATTCGATTCCGGGCATACGCCCAAGTCCCGTATTTTCCTACGGACCCTCCGGGACCGTCAAATCACGGGTCCGGGTCTGTTTACCCAAAACATTGACCGAAGTCAAATTAAATTTATTTATTAGCCAAATTTTATCATTTTTCACAGATTTTCATATTTAAGCTTTCCGGCTACGCACCTGTACTGCGCACGCAAATCAAGGTGACTCTAAATGAGGTTTTCAAGGCCTCGGAAATATAGAATTTAATTTAAAACAAGTTATGACCGTTTGGGTCATCACATATTATTTTTCTCTCTCATTCTTTCAGATTTTTCTCCACCATCTCTTTCTCTCAACGCCGGTCTTTCTCCATGAATACAACCTCAATTTCCTCTTCGTAATCATCATCGTCATCGTCGTCGCGATCTTTATCTTCAGTTTCACGATCATTCGGCGACTCATCACTAAACTGTAAAAAATTAGAAGCTAACTTTGAAATCTCTGAAACAGCTTTGTTCGAAGAGAACGAAGAGAGTCCTGATTTAAAGCTATCTCCAATATCAACTAAGTCGTTTTTAATTCCGCTGAACTTTTCAGTAGATGGAACTTGCTCCGACGACTGAGTTGGAGATGGCGGAGCGAGAAAAGAAGCGACGACGCGGAGGTGGTGGGAGAAAGTTTGGGAAATTGCTGAAAAATTTTCTTTTATACTAGAGGTTCGAAATCTGCTATTGACGAGACGACATTAGGGTTATTCTTGAACACAGACGATGGAGTTTGGGGCTGAGCAACTTGAAGAGTCTATTACCTTTTTTTCATTGTATTTCAATGCATCTCGCTGTATTCTATTTATTTCATTGTATTCATTATCTTTTTTTCATTACATTCCAATGTATCTCGCTGTATTCCACGTATTTCATTGCGTTCACTATCTCGCTATATTCCATGAATGTATTCATATGTTTTTTTTTATTAATATAATTTATGTATTCAGATGTATTTATGTATTCAGATTTATAATTGAGTTTGTTGAGTTATATTAGGAGTCTATTTGTGTTAATTGATCCACTTTCCGTTTAAAAACAGCTGAATAGACCACGATTTACGCTATTTACGTTACTGTATTCACAAATACATATCGTGAATACAGTCGAATACAATAATTGCGTAGCTGTATTCCCCTGTTTCACGCCGAGTTTTGCTACTGTATTCATGAATACGGTAGCTTAAATACATCGAATACACTCTAGCAAAACTGAAAAAAATAGCTATAGGAAGTAATATAGTAAATTGTAGCTACGGCTAGCTAATAACCACTAAACAATAGTGATTTGTAAAAATTTCTCATTTTTAATTAACATCCTTCAAAATGGCTATTTGTGCACTTGCCCCGTAAACAAGGGCATCCAAGCCCATTTCTTCAGAGGCTCGAGGCATTCGTCCAAAGCCTATTATCAGTATGGGCCTCCAGCTGGAGGCCTAGCCCCAGGCAGATAAGGAACAGCGGCTTGGAGCCCGTCAAAAGGGAAAGATGATTTCAGTCTCACGGTTTGTTATGATTTTCTTTTGAAGAGCCCAAATAAGCTCCACCTAATATCTTGTTAAAATATCATGGTATAGCCAGTTTTCACACTGGTCAATGAAAAATAGCCAGCGTTTACCAAGTCAATGAAAAATAGTCACTATTTTGCTGTATCAGGGACCGGTCCAGTATAATGTACGGGAGTTCTGGTGCATTTGTGTACGAACTCCAGCATATTATGCTGGACCGGTATACTTTGCTAACTCCTGTAAAATTTGCGGGAGACTGAAGCACCAGTGCTCCAAACTCCAGTATATTATACTGGACAATTATACTTGCTGGAACTCCCGTAAAATTTGCGGGAGTTCCAGCATAATTATGCTTGAACTCCCGTAAAATTTGCGGGAGTTCCAGCATAGTTATCCTGGAACTCCCGTAAAATTTGCGGGCGTATTTTTCCGGATTTTGAACAGTGCTTTCGCTCAGATTTAAAGTGGCTAAATTTCGATGACTTTTGAAACTTGGCTATTTTTCAACGACCGGTGGTAAATCTGGCTATTTTTTAATTTCTCCCTAATATCTTAAGTTTAAATATATGTATAATTTACGTATACTACTTAGAAAAAGTAAATATTGAACTTGGCCGGCTACTTGTGTAACTATCCCTTTCCTTTTCATATTTGGATTTATATGTTAGTTGAAGGAATAGTAAAATATTTATTATAATTAATATTTTTTAATAAGAAAAATATAAATCTCTACAATACTTGATAGATTCATTCCTTGAAGGACCAAGTTATGACCTCTATAAATTGAGGATCTCTCTTTCAAACATAACACGATAGTATCTATAATGTAATTATTAAGAGAGTTTAATTTTGTAAAAATTATCCTCTTAATAATTTTTATATTAATTTATTATATGTAGGTCATTGACCAAACCACATTAAGTTATACGTCTTTTTAGTATATTTTTCTTTTATCATATGTTTTATCATCGCAAGCTTTGCTTGTTAGATTAGATTCTGCATGATGCATTGTTATTTCAATCACAACATTCAATCTAACATAACTTTCCTTTCGCAATCGACCTAGAGTATATAACAGTTTAACTTGCCTTAGTTTTCAAATTACATATCTCATATATTATCTTTGACGGTCCAAAGATTTTCATACAGCTATCAACATAGAAGTTTGACAGTGTCAAATTTTCATAACACTATCAACATATAAGTTAAACTCCAAGCCCTACTAACGTCTCACGATCTTTTATACAATAAACATGTAAAAATAATACGGGTTAGTCAGTTTTCGGATTGATCATTTAAAAATAGATAGCGTTTGCAAAGTTGTTGAATAATAGTCACTATTTTGCTGCAACACGGAAAGTTCCAGCATAATATACTGGAGATCGGTGCACCTGTGTATGAACTTTCAACATATTATGCTAGAACTCCAACACGCGAAAAGTTCCAGTGTAATATACTAGACTGGTATTATATTGAAATTCCAGTATATACTCCAGTATTATTCCAGTATATTATACTGAAGTATTTTTTCGAATTTTGAACAGTATTTTCGTTCAAATTTATCTTTACATGAAAATTGGCTAAACTTCAATTACTTTTAAAACTGAGATTATTTTTAAATGACCACATGTAAATCTGACTATTTAAATTTCTTCCCAATAAAAATAATCCTTGTTAATTAAAATACCTCAGCCAATATTCTGCATTACCAACCCACATTAAACGTAAATCCTCGCATTCAATATTAAATCTGACCAAGAGAAAATGACATCATATAGCCGCTCTTATAAAATAAAAATAATATATATATATATATATATATATATATATATATATATATATAATTTTATATACTTTTTCAATTACCAAATATAAAAATTTCTAGACTAAAAAAGCCCTATTATCAATCCGTCAATGTAAATACGTCAAAATAACACGGTATAACCAATTTTCGGACTGGTCATTCAAAAATAATCAGCGTTTACCAAATTAATAAAAAATAACCACTATTTTACTGCAATAGAGACCGATCCAACATAATATACTGGAGTTCGGTGCACCTGTGTATGAACTCCAGCATAATATACTGACGTATTTTCCGAATTTTGAACGATATTTTCGCTCAGATTTATCTTTAAATAAAAAATAACTAAATTTCGATTGCTTTTAAAATTAAAAATTTCGATTGCTTTTAAAATTAAACTATTTTTTAAAGACCAACTGTAAATCTAGCTATTTCTAAATTTCGATGGCCATGTTATTTCGCACTGAGCCATATTTGTAACTTGACACACTACTAGAAAGAATTTGCGAATACAAGAGCACTGTGCCAAAGTGTTATTAACAAAAAGTAGCCAGACTGACCCTGATAATACAACGGAAATATAAAAATACTAATACAACAGTTTCACTACACCTAAAAAAAAAACCACCCTGGAAAAATACCAACAAAAAGATACAAACTTAATTACGACACCTGTTATCAGCACTATATTATTACATCATCGTGATATATTAACCTGTAATATTCCAAAATTCTAATTCTAATTCTAATTTAGAGTTCCTCATCTCGTTTTTTACCAGCTATATTATCCTTAATTTCCTTTGTTTTTTCCTTAGCAGTTTCCTTGGCTGATTCCAAATTTGAAGCTAAATTTTCCTTTGCTTTTTCCATTGCTTCTTTAGCTTTCTCCTTGGCCCAACTCAAATGTTCTTCTGTTTCTCCTTCTGCTTTCTCTCCCATTTCTTTCATTTTTTCCTTTGCTTCTTCTGCTTTTTCTGTTGCTTTTTCTTTTGCTTCTCCTGTTTTATGGTAAACTTCTTCTGCCTTTTCTGATGCTTTGTGTTTTGCTGTTTCTGCATCTGAATATGCTTTTTCTTTTTCTTCTCCTGCTTTTGAATAAGCTTCGCTTGATTTTTCTGTTGCTTTTTGTTTTGCTGCTTCTGCTGTTTCGTATGCTTTGTTTTTTGCTTCTTCTGCTGTGTTCTTTAAATCTCCTGTCTTGTCTGCTACGTATTGTCCTGTTCCTGCATTTCATTCATATTTTTCCACAATTAACTCGCATCCACACAGACAAATTCAGTAATTAAACCGAAAAATTTGTTGCTAATCCTACTGAGTGATTACTTAATCACAGACTATTAAAAAAAATATGTTAGCTACGAACGATATAGCTACTTTTCGCTTCTTTTAGTAGTAAAAATAATGTGAAATACTGTGATAGAGAACATATATTATAACATAATAGAGAATCACTCAACTTTTATACAAAAAGTATTTGTTATATTGTTATAGAGAAATTTGACTATAAAAGTAAAAAAATCTTTTATATATACCACACTATATATTAGGTAAAAATATATATGCTATTCTTTATATTATGACCACCTAATAAAAATTCTAACTCCACCCTGAGTTTTCTAACTCCACCACTGAGTTTCAAAAATTGGTAAGTGTAAGAAAAATATTACACTCTACTAAACTTAAAAAGACAATTGAGTTCATACGCGGGTAGAACAATTATACTGCAGGTAATATATAAGTTAAATTACATTATAAACTATGTCAACCTTGGTTTAACTACTATAAATTAATACTCCCCCGCCGTCCCAACCCATTTCAACTTGTAAATTATGATGCAGTTCGAATATCAGAGGGTCAAAATTCTTATTACTAATTTTGACCACGAACAAAAACACAGAATCTATTTAAACTAATTAACTAGATTAAAAAAATAGTATAAGCCACAATAATTAACCTGTAGCAGAATCAGTAATCTTGTCTTTGGCATTCTTAGCAGCATCCATAGTTGAATCAGAAGCTTGTTTAGCAGTAGAATCATCATCATCATCATCATTAGATTTAAAACCAAGACCTTCAGAAATCTTATCTTTAGCCCATCCTGTCCAAGACTCTGAATTCTCTTTACTTTGTTGCTGCTCAATTTCCTCATTAGTTTCCTTACAAATCACCAAACCAGACATAGAAATAACCACAAATCCAACTAGTAACACCACATAAATCAACTCCCTTAAGTTTCTTGAAGCCATAATTGCACGTGAAGAATACTATATCAGCAATAAATTGATAGTACTACACAATCAAGAAAATGATGATCTGGTTGAGTCTAGAAAATATTTCAGATATATATAAGAAGAGTTGCGCTATAGGAGAACACAAAGTTAGTGGACGAGTGGCATAATACGTGGGCACACGTGTCAGTTGTATGGCTAATGTAAACACAGTAGTCAATATGAGCTCTCTACGTGTCATTCAATATCTAATAGGAGTAAGTATTAGGTTTGCTGGCTCTCTGGATACATTGTTTGTCTCTGTGTTTATCTTTACACTTAGCCCTTAGGTTTGAACACTGCTCTGACGTGGGCGGAGTCAGAATTTTAAGTTATTGAATTTTTAATATTTTTAAGATAAATATATAATTCGAATTAAAGCTATTAAGTTCAGTCGAACCCGCTTCCGACACTATTCCACCCTGGCTCTAGAATGTTTTGAAAAACAATTTTGTTGAGGAGATATCGAATACATTTTTGAAATGGTAATTTGACGTTTGTGTACAGTTAGTTGCTTTTCAAGGGAAAAGAAATGTTATTGTAAAACTATTACTTGTGGTGGATCTAGAGTGTTGTTATTGGGTTCGTCGGAATCACTAAATTTTGCATAGACATTATATTTCTATTAAGAAATTTATTAAATATTTATAAATATCTATATGTGAATGCAGTTATTAATATATATTAATTTAAAAATACGATAGGAAACCATAAACTTAAAATCCAGGTCTCTGACTATTCCTAATACGGTTCAAATTTCCACATTATCTATCTATCAACTTATAGTAATATATAATAATAATAATCTAAATCAATATGTACTAGATTATGATTATTTTGTAATATCTTACCAAATTATATCTGTCATGTTAGTATGATGTTATTCTAAAACAACACGCACTAGATTATGATGGGAGAAATTAAAAAAAGCCAGATTTATAACTGGTAGGTCAAAAATAGTCTAATTTTAAAAATAATTGAAATTTAGTCACTTTTTATGTAAAGATAAATCTGAGCGAAAACACTGTTCAAAACTCGGAAAATACTCCAGTATATTATGCTGGAGTTCCAGCATAAGTATACTTGAACTCCAGCATATTATACTGGAGTTCCAGGATAAGTATGCTGGAACTCCAGCATAATATGATGGAGTTCCAACATAAGTACACTAGAACTCCAGCATAATATACTGGAGTTCCAGCAAGTATAGTGCTACAGTCTCCAGTATATTATACTGGAGCCAGCAAAGTATACCGGTCCAGCATAATATGCTGGAGTTCATACACAAGTGCACCGATCTCCAGTATATTATGCTGGACTGGTCTCTATTGCAGCAAAATAATGGCTATTTTTCATTGCTTGGTAAACGCTGGCTATTTTTGATTGAGCGGTCCGAAAACTGGCTATACTGTGCTACTTTTACGATTATGATTAATAGGCACATTTCTATAAAGTAGGATGTATTGGGCCTAAAAATAAAGGGAAAACTGTACTGTATAGCTATTTAAAAGATAATAGCAGGTAAAATATATATGTATATTTTTTATATATTAATGAACAATAATTTCTTGTATAATTGGATAGCGAATGTAATTATTTGTGACCAACCGGCCAAGATTACAAAGAATGCAAATGGACTTGGAGCATTAGGGCCAAGCTAAATGGGTCATCTGTCCAAAGTATGAGATCTTTACATCAATAACCTGTAATATTCATTGTTTACTTTTTCTTGTCATATACATAAATTATATATTGATTATATATAATTATACACATATAATATATAAAATTATACATATATTATATCTTCACTGGCTATTTTTAGTTTAAATGGCTGGGTGGGCGACTATTGAATTAATTCTCCTTCTAAATAAGAGCAATATAGGCCATTTTATAAAGAGATCTTTACACAAATAGCCTATCGGTTTTGCAGTTTACTCATTATAATGTTGGTTATATGTTAAAGCAGTTCTCATATATTTTATACTATTTCAAATTTATTCTTATTATATACGGTGACGTTTTGTCAATTAGCCCGACATAACGGTGTCGTTTTACTGTTATGCTTTCTTCCTTCTTCACTAGCATATATAAGCTCTTGACTCATCCACTTCTTATCCTAAAGTTCATCTTCGAACCAAAAAAGCCATGGCTTGTACTTCACTTTCACTTTCCTTTCTTCACAACGCTTGCGCCGATAACAAGCAGCTTACTCTTCCATTCCGTACCAAATTGGTGACGTCAGCTCGGCCTCTTACGGTTGAAGCCAAGGCCACAACCAGAAGAGAAGATAGAACTGCCCGACATGTTCGTATTCGCAAGAAGGTATTAAACTCAATTCCCTGCAATGTATTATGTTAATCTTGTTTTTATTAATATATGGAAATATAATCTCTTCTTTGGGGTCTTGAATTTGTAGTCTAAGTATTCAGAGTTGTACAATTCCCAATTCCTAAATATTGAATTATGTTAGCCTTGTTCTTACCAATATGCTGAAATGCAATCTATTAATGGGTTCTCGAATTTGTGCTCTATGCATTAAGCATTGTACTAGAAGGGGAGCCTTGACGTAACTAGTGGCAGAGCCAGGATTTTCATTAAGGGGAGTCAAAATATAAAGAAATAAACTCACCAAGAAATCAATGGGTGTCAATATATAGTACATGCACATTTTTAAAAATTATCCAGCTACACAGTATAATTTTTCGACGAAGGGGGTGCCGATTGACACCCCTTGGATACATGTTGCTCCGCCACTGGACGTAACTGGTAAAGTTGCTGCCATGCGACCAGGAGGTCACGGGTTCAAGTCACGGAAACAACCTCTCGCAGAAATGCAGGGTAAGGTTGTGTACAACAAACCCTTGTGGTCCCTCCCTTCCCCCGACTCCGCGCATAGCGTGATCTTAGTGCACCGGGATGCATTAAGCGTTGTACTGATCCCAAGTCCTAATTGAATTTGTGGTACAATGGAGGTATTTAGCTAGCAGAGGAAGCAAAAAGAAAAACCACCTTTTTCAATTGGGGTTTTAAAGTTTTAAATCTTGTTTTTACCAATATGTGGAATTTGTACTCTATGCATTCTGGGTTGTACAATTCCCACGTCTCAAATATAGAATTAGTGGTATAATGGAGTGTATAACTAGCAGAGCATAACAAAAATCCACCTTTTCCGATTGGGGTTTTCTTTTGGGGGCGTGGAGGGGCAGGTGGGGAGTGGAGAGGATTAATCTTGTTTAACTGTGAAAATGCAAAGCCATTTTTAGCATTTGAATTTGCTTGAAGAAACTTTGATATTGGTCAGACCTGAAAATTGTTCTTTTAGCTAGATGGATCATGTTTGGTGTTTAGCAGCATTACATATGCTTGCTTGAAAAGATGGTTCCTTAAGCGCAATGGAATATAGAAAGTCATCAACATTTTGGCACGAAGATGCTTGTTGAGAGAATGGGAGTTGTCTTTTTATATTAATTCCTTAGACAAAGAAAGCACCTCTATTCAAGTGTGTTGAAACTTGAAAAGTATGGCCTCTCTTTTTCCTTGTTGACTTGAGACCTTAAATCTTTTAAATGTGAAAAAATTGGAAAACCAATATATCCGCTTACATAAGACAATTTGCACATGCTTTTATACATCATATAGCCAGGTAACGAACCCTCTATCAGCTTTCTCTTTGCTTCCATTTCCACAACTTTTTGTATGGAATACAATTTTTTTGACAAGTGGAATAGAATTCTTTTCTTGTTAAACATCTATCTGTGATTGATATGCTACCTGTTTAATTCTTATTTGACCTGTGGTCATGATCTGGTTTCCCTTTCTTGGTCCTCCTATTCTTCTGGTCCTCTTTTTGTTTACGTAAAGTCGCAAGTTCTCTTGCACGATTCTTAAGGTGCATTATTCAGCTAGATCAAGTCTACAACACATCTTTTGACTTTCAGGTTGAAGGGACACCTGAAAGACCAAGATTGTGTGTCTTCCGTTCCAACAAGCACATCTATGTTCAAGTAATTGATGACTCCAAGATGCACACACTGGCATCTGCTTCAACAATGCAGAAACCAATCTCTGAGGAATTCGACTACTCCGCTGGCCCCACTACAGTAAGTTCTCAAATATGTTTTCTCAAAAAGGTTAAAAGACCTTTTCTTTTAACGACAATGCTTAGAAAAGTATATATTACTATATGAGAGAGTGAGGCAGATCAAGAGATGAAATTCTGGAAAAAAGAACAACTATGCGAAGGTCCTCCTGAATCAGCTGAATTTGAGTCATGTTCCTAGAATTCAAGGAAACGTTTCCCTTTGTGCTCTGGACTACACATTTTCCTTGTCCTATGTGTTTTATACAAAAACTGGAAAGAGCGAAATCTCTTGAACTGAAAAGTGCTCAAAATACCTGATTCATTTTGTGTTAAATACTTAAATTTGGCAAATACATACATATAAAGAATTGTTGTTATACTGGGTAGTTGTTGTTGTTGTTGTTGTTATACATATAAAGAATTGAAAGTTTGGTAAGATAGAGGTTGTAAGAAATAAATTATACAAATATATTTTGAATTAGTTCACTACTAAACATGTCCAATAATAAGCTAAAATAATCTTGCTTGTAGTTCAATGATCTCAAGCTACTTTTATCATCCAAAAGAGAAGTAGAGAGCTAGGACTTGAGAAATTTGTACTTTCTTGAGCCAGAAAACTAAATTGGGAGATTCAAAGATATTATAAGAACTACCGACCTTTGGGGCAGAAAAATTAGAGAACTGGCACAACCTGGCAGGAAAACTTCTGCCCAAGTTTTATCACTTCATCCCTTGTTTGCTGTATAGAAGAAGAAAGAATATACCTCTGACTATCTGAAGTTTTCAATTGTCTGTTGCAGAAAGTTTCAAATTTTACGACAAATACCATCCAAAATTTTTGTTCTCTTTACAATTTACATGATTGCATGTAAATTTATCGGCTTATATTTTCGTAGTGGAGGTGGCATTACAAAAACCTGCCTTCAGAAGAGGACCTTGACTGTAATTTTAAATAACCTGTCCTTAGAAGAGAAAATCTGCTCTTTATATGGAAGGAATATCCTTTAGAGGCTTTATAGGATTTGTTTGGGGCGGATAACATCCTTGTGAGGCTGGACTTAAAAGATCAGAAGTGAAGTGGGAAGTATAAAAATAATAGTTTAAATCAGAAGATTAGGGTAATGCAGATTTAAGAGGGATTATGAGAAGAGCTGTTTGTCCTCATTATCCAATTTTTTGTATTTCCCTGCAAAGATACACAAGATACTGTTGTTGTCTTTGTCTTGATTTACTAGGTCGTCTGAAATTGTTGCTCGTGTAGTTTCGAAGCGCCATATAATCAATTGAAGTTTACCTTCCCATGTAGTTGATGCATGACTCAATTTGTTCAAGAAGCAGGCCTTTCTTTTCCATTTGGAATAAAATTTAATTTTGCATTTCCTTTCTTTCTTTTGGATAATGGATCTCGTGGATGTAGCTTCTCTTATAGTTCTCATTAAAGTTTATTCTCTTAAACATGTTGATGGCAAGTGGTTTTTGGCACTGTTTATTCTGGTTATTGTTGCTTAATTGCACATTCGTGGCAAAATAACAACCTTCGCATTATCTCCTTATGTATACATGTGTTATGTTATGTTCCGGAGTTCTTTCCGTCGATTAAGATCGTGCTGATGCTCTTAGATATTACTCCATAAAACATATACAAAGTTACAAACTAATGGTACAGTCAGTTGCAACATTGAAGATTTTGTGTATTTGGTTGATTTCCATTCTCACTTTCAAATTGCATCTCTTCTCTGAACCTCTTAGGCACAGGGGGAACCGTTCCTCTCCTCCATAAGAAAATGATTAAACAAACTAAGAAACAGAAAACAGAAAAACACTTGAAGGGTGTTATTTGCGGAGGAGAGATTTATTATATGATGCGATTGTGATTATCTTGACACTTTTCTTGTATCAGAGTTTAACTGCTTGCATACTTTTTACACTGTTTATGAACAGCAGGCTCATCATAACAAGCTTTTGTTTGCAGGACGTGGCGAAGAAAGTTGGGGAGGTTATAGCTAAGGCCTGTCTAGAGAAAGGAATCACTAAAGTAGCCTTCGACCGAGGAGGTTATCCTTACCATGGACGGATTGAAGCTCTCGCTGATGCTGCAAGAGAACACGGCCTTCAGTTTTAGAAAGTGCAGATTTCTTTGTTCTTCTTTTTTGTTGCGCAAATTACCTTTTCTGATCTTCCCATTTGTTCCCAGTTTGTAAAACTCATGTCTAAGAAGTAAGATGAACTGGAGTTTAAATGTATGATCTGCAATTCTTTTTGGTTTTATGGCTCCTTTAAATCAGAACTTAGATTCCCTTTGTACTTCCAACTTTTTATGATATTTACTTTCAATTTTTGAGAAACTTAACTAGTGAAGATCATGGTTAATTTAGTTAGTACAGACCTCAGCTAGATTTTTTTGGGATTTTAAGAAATTAACAGGTCTAATACAGTCAGACCTTTCTATAACAACATCCTTATATAATAGTCATTCACTATAAAAGCCGAGTTTTTCTTGAAACCGAATATTATATTATCTTATAATATATGTCTCTATAACAATACTTCACTATAGCACCAAAAAATTTCGGAACAAACGAGGCTGTTATAGAGAGGTTTGACTGTAGATGAAAAACGAATTAGGTATATAAAATGAGGAATTCTTTTTTATTTTATTAATATACTTAATTCAAGCATTAAGTTTCAAATTAAAAAATACAATGTTTGGTTGATTGCTTATGAAAAAGTAATCATCCCATAATGCAACATTTGGTTGGTTGTATTATAAAAAAAATAGCACAGATAATGCATCATTTCGTTGATAGTATTAAATAATCCGCATTAAGTTATACGAGAATCTATATAGAATCTAAAAATTTTATGCGGAATAGAATATAAAATAAGATATCTATTAGCAATTCATACATTAAACTATAAAACCATAATAATGTTCTTAAAATAATTTCAGCATAATAATCTATTCATTATTATTCTTTTTGAAATTGTAGCTAGGGCTATGCATAATTTGGTAAATACTGAATTACCGTACCAAAACCGAAAATTTTGGTATTTGGTATATGGTATTTTGGTATTTGTATGGTATTTAGTTTAAGTTTTTTAAAATATTGGTATTAGGTATGGTATTTGGTATATGGTATTTTGGTATTTATATGGTATTTGGTTTAAGTTTTTTAAAATATTGGTATTAGGTATGGTATTTGGTATTTTAATAAAATACCGAAATATCGATACCGTACTGAAATATATATTATATTATACAAAACATATATTATCAATTATAAGATAAATATAAAAATCTAAAATTTTACTTTCATTTATTCTCTAAGTTCATTTCTAATGATCAAATATTCTTTTACATACCATTTTCTCTATTTGGGTCGATATTTTCTAGTTTTGAAAAAAAAATGTGTCAACAATCATTTTTAGTCTTTTATTTTTGAGTACTTTAATTAAGAATATTAGAGTCTATGGCTCTATGCACAAAGTTAGTATTCAAACCGAATAAACCGAAGTTACCGAACCGAATAAACCGAAACCGAAAGGAGAAAAACCAAACCATACCGAATTTAATTAGGTACGATATTGGTATAAGATTTTAAGAAACCGAATACCGAAAATACCGAACCGAAATGTCTAAATACCGTACCGTACCGTACCGTACCGACAGACGAACACCCCTAACTGCAGCCCATCCTCCTTGTTCGCGATTCTTCATTATTAATCATCACATAATAATTTCTTCATTATTAATCATATAATATATCAATATTTATCGTATACGTAACTCTTGCATAATTAGTGTGTGAATCAAACAACACTTGAATGTAAAATTGAAACGGTTTTAGATAATAATGCAAATCCAATACAGTAAAATCTCTCCATGATTTTCCATTAATCATGAGGATTAGCTGAAAGAAAGAAAAAACAAATTGGTATCAAAACAAGTCTGAGCTTGAATACAACCAATTTGTCAACTGTTTCTCTACCTAACAAACTGTCTATCTCTTTTTTCTTTTCTTCTTTGTGTGGGGGAAAATACCAAACTAGAGGCAATATAACAATTTCCAAATCTTGCTTTTGGGCGTCAGATTATAGCCACCACATCAACAAGACAACAATCAAGTATATACAGATTGGCTTGATTCTTGATATAATATTCTCCAAACAAACTAATGCAAAAAACAAAGGTTCAATTTCTGGGCTTCGACTTGTCTAAAATTGACCACATCACTTGAACATCTTCATATGGACAAGCCATTACTTCAACTTGCAAATTTACTATATGGTTTTCCGGCCCTGCAACCACATAAGAGTTTATGATCAGTCGAAAAACAACGACAAAAAACCGACAGACATCTGACACATGCAGATGCAGATCTAGAACGAGTCAACAAGTTCAACTGAACTCATTAATTGCTTTCAAGACGGTTCATAAGTACATAAAGGGGCAGCGTGGTGCACTAAGCTCCCGCTATGCGCGGGGTTCGAGGAATGGTCGGATCACAAAGGTCTATTGTACGCAGCCGTACCATACATTTTTGCAAGAGCCTGTTTCCACGGCTCGAACCTGTGACCTCATAGTCACATAGCAACAATTTACGCTTATACAATATATGCCAGAAAATTATGCTTATACAGTATATAGACTCATTTTGTACCTAGGAAGGGGGTTCAAAAAAAATATTGTAGCTAGTGGGAATTGAACCTATGACCTTCTAAAGGTTTTGAACCCCCTCGACCACTGAACTACACTTTTAGGTTGTGTTAAGGGGGTTCAAAATTTAATATATAAAAGTAAAAACCAGATTTTGCCTTATATATACCGTGTAATTTTTTGAACCCCTTTCCGCCCCCTAAATGCGCCCCTACATGCAATATAATCTATGGAATATACATCACATACCTTCTTGTTGAGACTTCTTATCCCTAGGTGATTGTTGATTGAACAAGGTTCGTCGAGCTTTTCGGAAAGGAGATGTGATTGTTCGAACCAACGAAGATACTTTTCTGTTCTGATGATAAGTCGCCATGATTGATCTCGTAAAAAAAATATTCTACTAGAAATATTCTTAGTACTACCTACCAGGATCTATAACTTACTATTGGCTAAGAACACGAAAATTGAGTGGTTTATATAGAATGTACGTGTCACCTATAGCTACAATATTTTAAAGAAAAGATAGTATGGACCATAAAAGGCAGGCAAGATCCGTGAGAATAGCTCTATCTATACGTAATTTTAATTTAATTTCTCTCTCATTTTAAATGTTTTTGTTATCTCTGCATTTTCAAGTTTAGGTTACTGCCTGTTAGCACATGGCTCTCACGCTCCATTAATGGACCCTTCCATGTGAAAACCTTTACTTTTCCATTGTAGAAAGTGACGTTGACGTAAAGTTGAGATCAAATATCAAAACAAACTAATTTATAACGAAAATAACGCCTTATATGCAGGTTGTATATTCTATTGTTTGACTTTCTATAATTTTGCATTTCACTTACTCCTATATGTTTTCCCTAGTGACCTTTGTATTCGTTCGTCGGCTACTATATCAGTAGACACGGACAAACATTATAGGGAGAGGGGTTACCGGCAAGGGCGGATTTAGGAGGCAGAAAAGGGTTCGCTTGAACCTCCTTTCGCCGAAAAATTATAAGGTAAAATTCAGTTTGTATCTCTATATATATTATATTTTGAATCCCCTTGATATTGTCCAAAAGAATAACTTAGTGGTCAAGGGGGATTCAAAACTTTTGTTAGGGTTGTTGATTCAGTTCCAATCGGCCATAGTCTTTTTTAATTTGTTTCTTTTTTGAACCCCCTTAGCGTAACTTATGCCTTCGCCATTGGTTACGGGCACCCGAAAGCTTCGGCAAAAACTCCATGTATACTTGTAAAGGTCTTCAGAAAATAGTCACATATTGACATAAACTCTCCTACCAATCTTTACGAGCATTAATAAATTTATATTGAATATCATGGTGTCCCGCGGCAGCTGCATCCTAGGCCCACCTCCGTCTATACACTACTAGAAATCCGGAAAAAAACGACCACAAAAAGCGACCAGTGTTGGTCGCTTATTGGCCAAAAAGCGACCAAACGTGCCTGGTCGATATTAAGCTGGTCCCTTTACCTTAGGGACCAAAGTTGGTCGCTAATTAGCGACCAACTTTGGTCTCTCAAGTCAAAGGACCAAATATTCCGGTAAAGACACTGGCGACCAACTTTGGTCGCTATATTATTTTAATATTATAAATTTGCGACCAAAGTTGGTCTCACTTGTGTAAATTTCGTTTTTTTATTTATTTATTAATTATGAAGTAGCGACCAACTTTGGTCTGTATATGAAATATTATATTTTAAAATCTGGAAAATGGCGACCAATGTTGGTCGCTATACTATAATTTTTTTAATTATTTTTTAAATAAGCGACCAAGTTTGGTCGCTAAATACATGAATTGATTTTTTTATTTATTAATAAGCGACCAACCCTGGTCGCCATATGTCCAGAAATTATTATTTTTCTGGTAAATAGCGACCAATCTTGGTCGCTACTTGGGAAATCTGGGTTAAATAGCGACCAACCTTGGTCGCTATTTCACAGAAAATTATTTTTTTAATAGAAATGCGACCAAATAGCGACCAAAGTTGGTCGCTTTTCTTGGTATATTGCTGGCAGGAACTGCCTCTTTTGGCAGCTACACCACCTGCCAGCTTACCAAAATTCCTAAATAGGCAAATATGCCAACAACAAGCAACAACAACAACAACAACAATTATAACGAACAAAGTATAAAGTTCAATAGAACTTTATACTTTAAGCTAATTAGCAAACTAATAAGTTAAATGTTATTACAGAACCATTCGAAAATCAATTGTATTTGTCTTGCATAAACTTATAAGTTCAAAGATTGTTCTCTACATCATTATCATCACCGTCTGATGAACTTTCTTCACCATGACGGTATCTAGAATGGGCTATTTGTCGATGATGGGAAGAATGACCACGGGGAGGACGGGGGGAATGAGCACGGGGAAGGCGAGCCTCTGGCGATGACTCACGAGACCGGGGAATTGGAAAATTGCCAGAAGCTAGGAGAGTTTTGATCTGCTCTTGCATGCCCTTGCACTGAGCTTGCATGCCAGAGTACTGCATATCTCTAAGCCTTTCTCTCTCCTTGGCGGCTTCTAGCTCGGATGTGAGCTTTGCCACAGTCTCTCGCATAGAGGAGAGGCTCTCCCCATCAAGTTGTTCGGCTTGGGAGGAAGTCCATATTCCTTGCATTCCACACTTATAGCGATGGAATTTCTTAATAGGAAGCCCGTATACCTTCCCCCCTTTTGGACCGCCAGCAGCCTGCGTCCACATTCTCTCAGCATCCTCGTCCGATAGTTGGATTGGCGCGCCAGACTCATTAGGTGGCTGACTGCGTATGAATTGCTCCACTTCAGCTGTGAAGCGACCCTATAAGAAAAATAATATGTGAATTACTATTTCCAAATTTATATAAAAGTAAATCAAAATTCTTAATGAAAAGTGAAAACTTACATGTACAGTCGAGGCTCGGCCCTCGACCCACCTTTCTTGGTCCGTCTCTTTCTTCTTCTTCACAATATGAGTCTCCTTGAAGAGCTCATCTTGGTTCATCGGACGCCCCAACTTTTTTTCCTGAAAACTCATAAATTTTAGTTAATAAACAGAATACATATACTAAGAAAATTAAAATAAATTAAGCAATTACGTACCATTCTTCGTTTTATTGTCCCTAGGCTNCAAAAGTGTTAACGGCTAACATTTATATTCTTTATTTACTAAATACAAAAGTGATTTTTAATTTTGACATTTGTTGACCTAAATAGCGACCAACTTTGGTCGCTAAACATAAATAATTTTAAATTAGCGACCTAAGTTGGACGCTAAACATAAATAATTTTAAATTAGCGACCTAAGTTGGACGCTAAACTTAAATCAGATTTATTTATCTTTTTTATTATATTTAAAATATTAACCGGGTCCCAGATTAGCGACCAAAGTTGGTCTATACTCTACTGAGCGAACAACAATGGTCGCTAAAGTTGAATTATATTTATTTATATTTTATAATTTTTTTAAACAAAATTATAATTATTAAAATTTTATAACTGGGTCCCAAATTAGCGACCAAAGTTGGTCTCAACCTGTTTTCTCTTTATATAGCGACCAACCTTTGTCGCTAATTTTAAATTTTATTTATTTATATTTTGTTATTTTTTAAAAATAATGTTATAATTATTAAAATTTAATAAGTGGGTCCCATGAAGCGACCAACATTGGTCGCTAATCTGAGTAATTCTTTGACCAAGCAAGTCTGACCAGTCCGGTCAACATTTTGACAAAATTTTCGACCAAGTTGCGACCAACGTTGGTCGCTAATTTATTCAAAATTATTATTTTATTATTTTCACCAGTTTAGCGACCAACTTTGATCGCTTTTCTTGTCAAACCAACTTTGGTCGCTAAATTTTGGTCGCTTTATGCAGGAATTCTAGTAGTGATATATCCTACTAAATCATTAACATTTTAGTTCAGCAATAATTAGGACACGAGTTCGAACCCAAATCGCAACTGTGATTAGGAAACGTTTGTTTTACAAAGAAAACTTAAACGCGCTGCCGTAGGTAATTAGGAAGCAGCATTTGCCGTTTTTCTTGCTTTCTGTTCCAACCTCCCAAGTTAATTAAGGCTTCAGCCGACCTATGATTGTTAAGTAAAATGTTATTAGTAATTTTTAAATTTATGTTTGACTTTGATTAAGCCTCATGGGGAAGGAAAGTGGGATTTGAAATAAATTAACCAAGCAAACTAAAATAAAGATGGTTAAGGAGGAACTTATGCAGAGAGAAGAAATATGAAGGAGGAACTCGATGATTTTATTGAAACGAATATGGCTATATATAGCCTTACATAACCGACGTCTAAAGCTAAAACTGTGTTTCCTAGAGTCTAACAAATTCTGATGACGTGAAGAACTCGATAAACAAAGAACTCTAATAACATTAGGAAGCTAAACACTAAAAGACTCCTAACAATTCCTCCCTTAAACTGAATACTATGAGCACTCAGTTTATCTTAGACTTAAAACAAACTCCCAACAATTCTCGCAACTTCAAGAAGACATCCAGCCTCAGGGGTTTAGTCATCACATCAGCTAATTGTTCCTTTGTACCGCAGTAAACCAATTCCACAGTGCCATCTTTTGTGAGTTCTCGTAGAAAGTGAAAACGCACATCTATGTGATTGCTGCGACCATGCATAACTGGATTTTTTGAAAGTTTAATTGCAGAACTATTATCACAGTGAATAATAGATGTCTTGCCTTGATTAGGATCCAACTTTTCTAATACCCTCTTCAACCAAACAGCTTGGCATGCACATGAAGCAGCAGCTTAAATTCTGCTTCTGTAGTAGATAAACTCACTACTGGATGTTTCTTTGAACACCAAGATACTGTCCCTGAGCTCAATAAAAACACATAGCCTGATGTGCTTTTTCTATCTTCCAAATTGCCAGCATAATCGCTATCAGTGTAACCAACAAGTTCATCATCTCCTCCCTTCCTATAAAATATGCCAAACTCAACTGTCCCCTTTAAATACCTTAACACCCTTTTTGCCGCCTGCAAATGAAGTTCAGTGGGATTCTCCATATATCTGCTAATAAGGCTCACCACAAACATCATATCCGGTCGAGTTGCCGTGAGATACATGAGACTACCTATAATTTGCTTATAATAAGTCTTATCCACCTTGATCCCGTCCGCATCTTTCATAAGCTTAAAGCCAGGAACAATTGGATTATGGACAAAATTGCTTTTATCCCTCCCAAACTTTTGCAGTACCTCTAATGCATATTTCTTTTGAGTGATAAAAACTCCATCTGATCTTCGATAAACTTCCAAACCAAGGAAATATCTCATTCTTCCAACGTCTGTCATGTCAAACTCATGCTTCATGGAACCTTTAAATTCTGCAAACATTAACTCATCATTGCCAGTAAATATAAGATCATCAACATATAAACTTACAATTAGTATTTTTCTATCTTTACTTGTCTTGATGAACAATGTATGCTCGTAGTCACACTTTTCAAAACCTTCCCTCATGAAATAGGCTTCTATGCGGTTGTACGAAGCTCGGGGCGCTTGCTTAAGCCCATAAAGTGCCTTTTTTAACTTATATACTTTCTGTTCATTTCCCCTCTGCACATAACCACAAGGTTGTTCCACAAAAATATTTTCATGCAATTCTCCATGTAAAAATGCGGACTTTACATCTAGCTGGTACAGAGGCCATCCTCTTCGAGCTGCAAGCGCAATTACCAATCGAATTGTCTCCATACGCGCCACAGGTGCAAATACTTCTGTATAGTCTACCCCATGTTGTTGGGCATACCCCTTCACGACAAGCCTAGCCTTGTATTTATTTACTTCTCCATTTTCATCAAATTTAGTTTTATAAATCCACTTAACTCCAATTTTTTTCCCTCCTTCAGGCAAATCTATTAATTCCCATGTACCATTTTTTTCTATTGCTTCCATCTCGACGTCCGTGGCATGCCGCCACTTTTCACTCTTCACGGCATCTTCAAAGTAAATAGGATCAGTATTAGTGGCTGCAAACATAACCACACTTTCTTCTTCTGAGATGGCGTCAAAGGTAGTATTTCCTCTGTTTCTTCCGAACCAGGTTCATTATCTTCCCTTATCTCGGTAACAGGAACTGGTTGAGCTGCTTCCTCTTCACGTTGAGCTTCTTCCTCGTCACGTTCATCCCATTCCATGTCACACATAATTGTTTTTTCATGCTTGTTATCCCAATCCCAGCTCCTGTCTTCTTCAAACATGACATCCTTGCTTATAATGATCCTTTGTGAAATTGGATCATAAAGTCTATAAGCTTTTGATTGCTCACTGACTCCCAACAAAATACAACACAAACTCTTATCATCTAGCTTTGATCTAGTATTATCAGGCACATAAACATGAGAAAGGCAGCCAAAAACTCTAAAGTACTCAACTGAGGGCTTGTATCAACTCTATGCTTCCTCTGGTGTCTTATTTTTTACTGCCAATGTCGGACTCCGATTCAAGACATGGACTGTCCAATTGACTGCTTCAGGCCAAAAAGTCTTGGAAGTTTCTTCTCTGATAGCATGCTACGAACCATATCATAATAGTTCTATTCTTTCGCTCCGCGACCCCATTTTGTTGCGGTGTGTATGGAGTTGTCAATTGTCTCTTTATTCCATTCTCTTCCCAAAAGCTAGAGAATTCCTCCCCGATCTGTACGAAAGCCTCTAATAAAAGAATTCGTCTCTTTTTCAACGTGAGTCTTAAATCTTTTAAAAATAGCAAACGCTTCAGACTTCTCAGTCAAAAAATAAACCCATAATTTTCTGCTAAAATCATCAATGAATGTGAGCAGATACCTCTTTTTGCTATTAGATATAGGCTTGATCGGACCACAGATATCAGCGTATATTAGTTGTAGAACTTGTGAAGCTCTCCAATTGCTCTTCTTTGAAAATGGATCACGTTGTTGCTTTCCCACCAAACACTCTTTGCATAGTTTCAGAGGAGACTTGAGTTGCGGCAAACCATGCACCATGCCTTTTTGCTGAAGAATCTGTAAGCCTTTAAAGCTTAAGTGTCCATACCGACAATGCCAAAGTTGCATTGCATCTTCTGTAATAGTATTGAAACAAGCAGATGCTATAGGTCGAGATACAGCATGCACGACAAACATCCTGTTTGAAGTCATTTGTGTCTCCATGATTAAGCCTCTGTCAGGATGATACACCTTACATTGACCGCGTTGAAACAAAACATCAAGCCCCTTTTCTTGTAACTGTCCAATACTCAATAGATTTATTTTCAGTTCTGGTACATAAAACACACTTGTGATAACCTGTGTTGTTTCCTTCACATGAAGCCTTATATTTCCCTTTCCTATTACACTCAAGCTTGAATTGTTACCCAACTTCACTGAATCTCTAAAACTTCCATCAAAATCGAAAAAATATTCCTTCTTTCCGCACATATGATTACTGCATCCTGAGTCAAGAAACCATGTGTCTTCATTGTTAGCATCACCTGAATCAACATGCGCCATCAACAACATCTCTCCATGAGTTTCTGCATAATTGGCCGCTTTTTCTTTTTGTGGACACTCCTATTGAAAATGTCCAAGCTTGTGACAGTTGTAACACTCCACTGTAGCTTTGTCAAATCTGCCTCTTCCCCTTCCACGACCTCCCCTTCCAAAGCCTCGATCCCTTCCACCAGACTGTTCTCCATGAGTAATCTTTAAGGCTTGTTCATCTGCAACTGGAGAGCTCATTCGTTGTTCATGCACAAGCAGACTGCTTTGCAACTCATCAATAGTTATCGTGCTTGTATCCTTGGATTCCTCCATGGAACATACAACAAAATTGAACTTGGGAGTGATGGATCTCAAGATCTTTTCCACGACCCCTACATCTCCCTTGTCTTCACCATTTGCTTTTAACTTGTTAGTAATGGTGAGAGTTCGAGCAAAAAACCCATTCACGGTTTCCCTGCTTTCATGTGCAGAATTTCAAACTCTTTGCGAAGAGCTTGCAATTGTGCTCTCTTAACTCGTGTATTACCCTGATATTTCAGCTTCATAGAATCCCATATATCCTTTGCAGTCTCCTTTTTCAGAATTGTTTCTAAGACTGAACGATCTAATGCTTGAAACAGAAAGTTATTTGCTTTCAAGTCTTTCAATCTTTGATCATCAATGTTCTTCTTCTGTGCATCAGTCATATCTTCTGCTGCTGCAGGAATTCCATCCTCCACGAGGCCCCAGTATTCCTTTGATCGTAGGAAATTTTCCATAAGCATAGCCCAATGATCATAGTACCTATCAAACTTCGGTACTGCCGGTTGGACAAAGGAACTCTCTGTTGTCATATTTGGATTGCCAAACACTTAGAAGACTGCGACTTCTAACGCCGTGACAAGGCTCTGATACCAAATGTTGAAAACCAAAGAAAACTTATGCAGAGAGAAGAAATATGGAGGAGGAACTCGATGATATTATTGAAACGAATATGGCTATATATAGCCTTACATAACCGACGTCTAAAGCTAAGTGAAGAACTCGATAAACAAAGAACTCTAATAACTTTAGGAAGCTAAACACTAAAAGACTCCTAACAGTTATAACCTTTCTTTTGCATGCATGCCTCCAAACAGTACATAATAAACCTAAGAGATTAAAAGAGATATAATCCTTATTAGGAATATTTCCTTTTGTCATTCATATTTTATGAAAACTTGTTCTATTACTCCAACTTTAATTAAGAGAAAGCGTACGTGGTTAACGAAGTAGGTTGAGAATCATGACGTATTATGTATGAATTCTAGCAGAGGCAAAAATATTACTAGGTGATTTCTTCCTATCTGTAAAAGTTTTGGTGGACAGAGTTATCCGATATTTGTATTGGTGGGAGATAACAAAATTTGGTGGACAAAGTTATCTGATATCTGTACTGGTAGGAGATAGCAAGATACTCCGTGAAAATGATGCGCGCAAGCTAGCCTGGACGCAAACAGAAAGAAGCTCTTAGCATAATCAAAAGAATTTGTAAATGAACGATTAAGCAACGTCATTTCTTCCTGTTTATACTTGAGTAAACTTTCAGGTTATTATGGCCCTTTTTTGTCAATTACTACCTCCCAAAACATTGAAATCAATTTACTACCTTTCAATTTCAAGTTAGTTGGAGTTGTCATCCACTCTGTGTATTCCTTTTCGTTATATTGAAGTCCATTTTATTCAAATACTATTTTATCTTTAAAGAAAATTAGGAAATACTTATCTAATATCAAAGGTTCTCTAATTCTCATATTTACTCATACAAACATATGCGAAGAAAAATGTTAATTAGGCCTGCTCTTAATTAGGGATGGGACAAATGAAGCATGGCGATTGGCGTCGGTACGTACCAAGGAACATGGATGTTCTAAGAAGCTAATTAATTGAAGCATGGCGATTATTTACTCTAGCGTCTTGCTGACACGTTAATGACAACAGATTTTTGAAGGATTGCGTATAGGTGTTCGTAACATGCAGCGGAAGACAATAACAATCCTAGATAGATCTTTTCATGTTTAAAATTTATTTACATGTCAAAGATCAAATCTAAGACGTACCTGGTGAAGAGAGTATCGTTTTAAAAATTCTTCGATAGTGCGAAGACTCTATGCGTATCCACACCGAGACCGATCCTTGCTATCAACTCTTTGATCAACGAAACCCGCGAACAAATTGAACGTAAAACTTGTGCTGAAATTTTTCTCAAAAATCTCAACTCAAATTAGAAGAACAAGAAACACTTTTCTTGTAATTGTATTTTCTCTCTTAGCTTTGTATTGCACTCTCACTTTCACAAAGTATTTTTTTCTTCTCAAGAATTAATAATCCGGCAAATTTTCTCCATCACCCTTTATATAGCATCACCTATAAACCCTTTTTCTATTTAGGTGAGGTAATAATTTACTCAGGGTAAAAATTTATTCCAAAAATAAACTTCAATCAATTTTTTTTGCAAAATTGAAAATCACGTCTTAACAAAAACGTGACTGCCGGACCATTGTCAAAGTTGGATTCTCGTGAATCCAAATTAATGTTGGATTCAATTTATACGTCCTTTGTGGACTTTACCTTTCCAATTCCAAATTGGTAAATTAACTAATATATATATATATATATATATATATATATATATATATATATATATATATTTCAACCAAGAAAAATAACTTATTTTCTTTTCCAAATAGAAACTTCAATTTGTTTATAATATTAATTATATCCTCTCTGCTAGCAAAGAATATAATAATATTTCATTTGGACTAATATTTTAATTCATTTGACTAATTAAATCTCTAATTTAATTATCAAACACTAAAATAATTAATCCTTTAGCAAAGATCAGAACACTCGTTAGTGTGCGACCACATAGGTTCAATACTAAGACGGTAGTAAATTGATCACATCAATATATTAATCAAGGGTGGCGTCTAGCAACACTCTTTAACGACCGGATAGAATGAAGTATACAATTTACTCTCAAGAACCTGTAGAAGAGTAATGTAGTAATTCCTTCTGTCCTTATTGTGACGACCCGACACGTCGTCTCATGAGTTACCGCCCCGTTTCCCCCATTTTCTGCTTCTTTATGCTTCGTTATCTGTGTCTTGTGTGATCGAGTTGGTTTGGAGAAGTTTTGGCAAGAAATAAGACACTTAGTCTCTTTAAGGAAGGTTTAGTTTGAAAAAAGTCAACCGGGTGTTGACTATTCTGTTAGAGGGCTCGGATATGAATTACGATGATTCGGTTAGCTTCGGGGGATGATTTGTGACTTAGGAGTGTGATCGAAAGTAATTTTGGAGGTCCGGTGTAGAATTAGGCTTGAATTGGCGAAGTTAGTATTTTGGCGAATTCCGGTTGATAAGTGAGATTTTGATCCGAGGGTCGGAATGGAATTCCAAGAGTTTCTCTAGCTTCGTTAGGTGATTTTGGTTGTGTGTGTAAAATTTCAGGTCATTCAGAGGTGTTTTGGTTGGGTTTTTGATCAAATCCGTGTTTCGGAAGTTTTAGAAGAACTTAGGCTTGAATGCGATGTGAATTGATGGTTTTGGTGTTGTTTGAGGTGTTTTGAGGATTGGAACAAGTTTGGGTGATGTTTTAGGATGTGTTGGCGCTTTTGGTTGAGGTCCCGGGGGCCTCGGGTGAGTTCCGGATGGTCAACCGGACCAATTTTGGCATTTGGGAGTTTGCAGGTTTTTCAGTTCAGTGTTGCAGAGGTTTAACCCTTCGCGTTCGCATAGGGTGATTCGTGAACGCGTAGAAGGAATTTGAGGGCCAGGAATTTAGGCCTTCGCGTTCGCGTTTGAGGCCTCGCGATCGCGGAAGGTTAGGAGATCAGGCATCGCGTTCGCGTGAAGGTCTTCGCGTTCGCGTATAAGGGCTGAGGTCCAGTGGTGAGTTGTTCTTCGCGTTCGCGGTTGAGGGACGCGTTCGCGTAGGTTTAGGGACCCAGGGCTTCGCGTTCATGTGTGGGATACCGCGTTTGCGAAGGGTAAATTGGTCAGTGGAAAAGTTTGTTCATCGCGAACGCGAGTGGGCCCTCGCGTTCGCATAGAGTAAAATGTCAGCTGGCAGAAGGGTTTTTAATGATATTTCATCCGCGAGCCTAAGTTATTTTCCTCCATTGTTGAGCACCTTGAGAGCTTTTTGGGAGGAATTGAAGAGGGTTTCGACTGGGATTGATTGGAGGTGAGTCCTATGAACTAAAAACACGATTATATTGTGAAATTAACCTTGGAAGTCATGGAAACTTGGCTAAAATTGGAAGAACTAGGGCTTGGATTTCTAAATTTTAAATTGGGATTTGATGGGTCATTTGAGCTCGGATTTGAGAGTTCTTGGTATGTATGGACTCGTGGCGAGATAAGGAACCCGTTGGTGTGAAAATTTCTGAGATTCGAGAAGTGGGCCCGGGGCTCGGGTTTTTGCTAATTTCGAGATTTTGATATTTTTCGATTGTTTTCGATTAGGTATTGTTTCCTTAGCATATTGTGACGTATTCGTTCTGATTTTGGTTAGATTCGACGCGCGTGGAGGCCGATTCGAGAGGCAAAGGCGTCGCGAGCTAAAGAATGTAGCCGGTTCGAGGTGAGTAATGATTGTAAATGATGTCCTGAGGGTTTGAAACCCCGGATTGCACATCGTAGTGCTATATTGAGGTGAGATACGCGCTGGATGATGAGCGCGGGGTCTTTTACTACTGGGGATTGTGACTTGGTCTGTCCCGATTGATGATTTTGCTGCATATTTGACTGAAACTGATTTGTTATCATCATGATTTGGGCTGATTGCCATATTTGGGCTTCGTGCCAATTATTTGAACCCTTCGGGGATTTTTATCACTATTTCCTCACTGTTTTGACTCATATTGAAACTCAATCCTGTTGATACTTATTGTTTTACAAACTCAGCCACTTTTATATAGATTTGAAACTTAAATGATATTTCTAAATGATATTTTGGGCTGAGAACTACTGTTTTACAAATGCCCGAGGGGCTTGTGATGATTTTCGAACTGAGTGAGGCCGAGGGCCTGAGATACTATTTATGCCACGCGGTAGCTTGAGTGATGTGAGGCCGAGTGATATGAGGCCGAGGGCCTGAGATACTTTATATGCCACGTGGTGGCTTGAGTGATGTGAGGATATGCTGAGTGATGATGCCACGAGGCGGCTTGATATAGCGCTTGGGCCGTAAGGGGCCCCTCCGGAGTCTGCACACCCACAGTGAGCGCGGGTACCCATATTATCTGAGAGTGAGCCCGAGGGGCTGATACTATGCTGAGTGACTGAGAGTGAGCCCGAGGGGATGATACTATGCTGAGTGACTGAGAGTGAGCCCGAGGGGCTGATACTATGCTGAGTGATTGATACTGAGCCCGAGGGGCTGATACTGTTCTGAGCGATTGATACTGGGCCCGAGGGGCAGATTACTACTCACTATTTACTTGTTGTTTGACCTGATTTACCTGTTTTTAAAAGGAGATTTCATTTGATCCTTTACGGTTTTTACTGCTTTAAGTGATTTACTGCTTGATATAGAATTGCCTTGTGCCTTTATGAGTTTTCATGCTCTCAGCCATTATTTATTGTTGTTACTCACTAGGTCGGAGTACTCACATTACTCCCTGCACCATGTGTGCAGATTCAGGCATAGCAGAGTCCGCGCCTGAGCGCTGATTCCTTCCAGACCAGGCAGTTTCAGCGGTGTTTCATCAGAGGATCCCCAGGATTTTCTATTCAGTTGTCATGAGATTCTCAGGACTATGGGTATAGTGGAGACCAACGGGGTCAATTTTTGCACCTTCAGGCTTGCA